GGAATGGTTGTAGAGTGAAAAATCTTTAGAAGTACCTGAGCAAGAGATAGTTTTGGGGTATGGAGAATATACAATAGATTAGTCATCCTAAAGTTTCCACATGAAGAGTAAGGTAGATTTAAAGAATAACCTAGACCAGGGGTCAGCAAACTGCAGCTCACAAGCCACATGTAGCTCTTTGTTTGCTGTCTCAAAAGTTTGCCGATCCTTGGAAGAGCCAATCCTGTCTCTCACAATTTAAAAATTATTCGAGAGCCATAAATATATTTTTACATAATCACCATTATGTGAATAATAGCCTTTAAAAATTTTATACATGACACTATGATAGTTTAATTTTCATTTTCAATTTTACCTCAGAGCCACAGCTCACGAGCCACAGTTTGCTGACCCATGGAGGCTCTTTTGTCTCAAAAGTTTGCCGACCCCTGACCTAGAGGTTTCTGGTTTGAGAAATGCAGTGCCTCCCATAACTGAAACTGAGAAGTCAGGAGAAAGAGCAATATTGGGGGATTAATATTCAGTACCTCTGTGGATTTCAGAAGTGTGAGGTGGCCTCAGCCTATCACTAAAACTTCTTCACAATCTTCTACCAAAATGTCAGGCTCTTTTCTCTTTGTTTTTTTTTAGCACAGTCTTGGAATATTCAGAATCTCAGCATTCTACTTATCTTTTGAGAAATCATTAAACTTGCCTAAATTATCTGAAACATCTGGAAGATGTTACATCTTAAGAGATGTAATAAGTTCATGAGTTTGTGTATGTGTGTATGACTTTCAGAGCAAATAAAGGGCTCAATATGTTAAGAAAAATGATAACAATATGTACTACACTGGTAAAGTTGTTTACCTTAGGGGGGTTTTTAACTTTTAACCGTCTTTGTATTGTTTCATTTGAAAGAAGTTTGTATTCTTTTTATAAGTAAAGCTAATTTTTTTAAATTTAAGGATAAATAACCGGTGTAAAGCTATTTTTGGCAAACCCAGGTTTTCACCATCTATTTTGAAAAATAAGTCTTAAAAACAAACAAAAGATACATTGTGTAACCCTTATAATTATATAAAATGTGAATTTTTTTCTTTTGAGGTCTGAATTCTGATTTTCTTGATAGGTTTTACAGCTCTTTAAAACACTGCACAGGACAAGGCAACAAGTTTTTAAAAATGACGCCAGAGCATTAGAAGGTAAGTTTATTTTTTGCCCCTTTGGAGGAAGTCCATTCTTCAGATAGCTGCTACTATATCCAAAAGATCCTGTATAAAAAAGACCCATTTGAGGGAATGATCTTCACTATCTCTTCCCTAATGTTATGTTTTATAGAGATTAGTTTACATTACAGTTCTTTGAGGTGTATGTACTTAAAGAAATGTTAAGAAGATCAAGTTTTCATAATAATCAGGAAAAAAAAGATCAGAATTTCAACGTGCTTCACTGCTTGCCTTATTGTTCAATCTTTTAGACTAATTTCTCTATTATATAATCAAATTTTCGTACTCTCTAGGACTAGACACTACCATATTGTTAATGCCTTGTGTCATAGAAGTGACAGCAGCTATG